CCCTCCTTCCTCTTCGATTGACGACGAAATCTGCTCATTTGATGTTGCACTCTCACAATCTCGGACGATAACCTCTAATATCGGACCGAGAACTCGGGCTAATACAGGTACTGTCCTAGTGGCCGCGCGTTCGTCTTCTTCACAATAAATGTGAAATCATTTTACATTTAGAGTCGGGAAGGTTTGGCATGGCGCAGTTGCTTCTCCGTTAGTTCATTCCATGCGTTGCTCTGGGAAGGTAGTTTAATAAAGAGTCTCCCCTTCGACTGTAAGTTTCTTATTTATACAAAGTTACTGAGCAGTCTTCATGTAGGCACGCGTATGAATGAGGGCTTTCATGGGACATCTTCTGGTATTCACCTAGCTCTACAAAGACACTGTTGGGTGAAAAGCGCCCTAACCTGACTGATCAAACAATCGACCGGCTTGAATCTCTGGCGAGGAGTAATAAGAAGAGGGATATCTACCGATCTAGCCAGGTCATTGCCCAATGAAAACCTCGTCGGACAGTAACATCGGGCCCCTTGTTAAGTAGGGCATCTAGACATAAGTGTAGCTCCATTGTTTCTATCTCAAATGACTGGTAGACAGACCCGAAGTTAGATGTAATTCGGCGGGACAGGGATTCGAGATGATCCCTTTCCTGCAGACTGTATGATGGCTTCCGGCGAACCAATTTTGCATTAAGGAAAAAGCAGAATCTACACACAGCCCATTTGCTTATGAAAGTGGGGTCCATTTGTAGTGCATAAACTGTTCTTTTTTGTCAGTTCCCACAGTGTAGTCTTAATCTCTTGGTTCAATAACAGACTCACAAAAGATTTCGGACAAGAGAACCCGGAGAAAGTTATCCAGAATCTGGGCTGGATTAATGGAAGGCAGGTACATATTTGAAAACCTTCCTCAAATAACTTGCGAACCAAAGTCAACTCGGCCAAATCAACTACAGAAACAAAAATCAGATCTGTTTGAATGATCGTCTCCGGTGTACAATTTGTGTATATCCAGCTTCATTTTTTAACTGTGTGCGAGTATACATTTTTTGCTTATTTTTTTCATGAAAAAGTACAGTTTGCTGGTTTTGTTTCTATCCCTCAAAATGTCGGGTTCCGCTCTGAGACGGAGGGATTATTTTTTCGGTTGATGCAAGATTCACAGGTTGCATTCGCCTACATGACCCTCACGGATCGTCTTAAACAATTGTTGTCGTACCTTTGATCGTATTTTGCGGATAGAAGTTGGACGATAAATAGCGTAAAACCGATTACAGCGAAATCTCAAGAAATAAGCTGCGTGAAACAAATCATTTGGTTTCTGTCCTGTGACTTACGCGTCCACTTTGTCGTTGCATTTGTATGTGGAATGCGCGTTAATGTTCAACGCGTTTGCGTCTATGTTTCCGACCGAATAGGCAATACTTGCCTTGTTCTGACAATTTTAAGCCCGCAGAAGGACAGTCTTTTGGCGGCGGACTCTGAATCGGCAGCCGATATCAACAGTTGGACACGGACGGGAACAATTGGTCGCTCAGCTGGTGCCACCTCATCGATTTTTTGACTCTGACTATCGATAAACACAATTCAGGACTTTTTCTCACGTATATGTAACAGAAGCACAGATAGTTGTTTAAAGGCCACAATGAGATATCGATTTTTTGTTCTCAACATGACCAACCTTAATCATCCATCGCGCTGAGTAAATTTGATTAGAACATATCGACAGTTCAATCTCAAAATCTTTGAGACTCACCACTGACTCACGGGTGGCCGCAGTCGTAACTTGCACTTGCTTATGGTGAAGCAGACCAGTGTCAGTCCTAGAACATCCACAGCCTCAGAAATTGACGAATCAAAGCGCCAAAGTGTGCGTTTCGACAGCAAGAACATTTGTCAGGAGTACGCCAACCCTGAATAAGCTCGTACTGGTGTCTTTGGGACCTGCTGATATAAGCTTTGGAGACTGGGGAACTTGTGCCATGGAGAATACGCGCCTACAATGGCTGCGTCATTAAAACTGAAATGTTGTCAAGAACTGCAGTGCTTTCATTTATACCGTAAAATTTGACTATGTCCAGAACGATGGTCGAAAGTAGCGGGTCTAATACTATACCGCCGTTAATTAGTCTGCGTTCTAATTACGTGACATGTAAACTGCTGAAGTCGACTTGAAATTCTGACTTGATAACTTGTCGATGAGCTTCAAAGTGGAAGTCCCCTTAAGTTTAAAAGCATCTTCACATAAATGCCTCCTTAACTGACTTGGCCATGTCAGAAAATTATTCAAAAAGCATCGTAAAATGGCTCCTCATCGTATTGTATATTTCATTATCAAATCGGAACACTCATGGATAATAGGTCAGACCTATATTCGAATAGACGCCTCAAACAGTCTCCAAATAAGGACTTTTTAAATATCCCATCTCCTTAAGGCATAATTTTCTACGAATAGCAATAAATACTGAATTTTGTGACAATCCTTTTAAGAGAATTTAGATGGCCTCTATAGATAATGCCTCTGGTCAAAATTATTTGCAGGTTTTCTATTTATAGGTAGCTTTGAAGTGGTGGTCCTTATAAGCTTCGATCGGACGCACTGCCGACTCCACTAACAGACATCTTGAACTCCCCTTCACTTATAAAGTGCTGCCCCATTATGTACACAAACACTAGGAAAAGGCAATAGAACAGAACGTGCGAAAATCGATCAGGCGCTGTTTGGCAACGAACTCACTCGAATAGGAGCAAAAGAGCCCCCAGAACGAACAACCCCCACGGAAGTTCAACCGTCCTTCATCGCGGCGATGACTCATGATGGAAGAAGCTGTCAAGCCCGCCAAACATCCGCCGAAATACCGGGGCAGCGGAAAGGAGAAAATGACCGGTCAGCTGAAGGCCGACGAAGTCGGAAAGTCAGTTGAGTTTACGTTCGATTTTGTGCATTTAACTCCGAAATGTTAGCAATATAATAAACCTGTTTCTGTGAGCCACTTTTTCATCTCAAATTAGCACCCGGAGCTATCAACTTCACCAATGTGAACACAGTACCTCTTTTCTTCCAACTTTCTTGAAGTCGGAATCACCCCCTCCTTCGGGATTAACAACAAAATGAGCTAACCCGAAACAGTTCAGCTACCTAACTTTTGGTTCAGTCTCTTGCGAAACGCTGTCTGAAGCATCTATTTATGCAGTAGGTGACCTGACTCATGAAATGCCATGGTGCGAATTTAAGCGGGCAGTGTGTCATATATCCGGCTTTGTTTTGTTTTGTCCGTTGAAATGACTTGAGGGGCGGAAGACCTTTTACTAAAGAAGAATTCATTCCAAACTTGTTTTGCAAAGGGAAAACAGACTAGGTTTAGGCGAAATCGAACGTTTTCTGATATCCAAGTAATCTTCTACGCTAATGGATAGCGCAGGTCAAAACTGTTATGACCCGGCCTGGTACTTGAAATCACGTGGAGCGTATGCGCACTCGACTCTTGTCCCAAATACCAAAGCGGAACACGACCAGCCACGAAAGTGTATTAGGGAATTGCAAGTCAAAACTAACTGGAAGTAACGCATATTTATAATACCCTACTGTAGTTCACCTGCATTCAGCCCAGTGCACTTCGGGAAGAACATTCCAGACGAGCTGGTCGATAATTTGAATATGCAGGTCAATCAGGCTCGAGGGAAGGCAGCCAATGGAGAGGCGCCACGATTAAGCTGACAGCGCTGTAGAGAAAACGCACGTGGCCTCCAGTGATTGGCTTGTTTTGGGGGGTGTAGGCCCTCCCAACAAGAGGCGGAAGAGGGGCGGACGACCTTTTACTAAAGAATAATTCGTTCCAAATTTATTTTGCAAAGGGAAAACAGACTAGATTTAGGCGAAACCGAACGTTTTCTGATATCCAAGTAATTTGCTACGTTACTGAATAGCGCAGCTCAAAACCTCTTATTTGTGCGCGTTATACTATAAAATAACATTAATATAAGCATGAAAAGTTCCAAATAAATTCCTTCTGGAATCGAAAAATCGGATTCCACGTCGATGAAAATCACGTGGAGGCAGGTATGAGAAATTGAACTATTTACAAGAAACAGGGAGTGGATTCAACTTTAGACATTCTGTTTTGCAAATTCGCGACATTTTATGCCACAAAGCGCCGTAATATACTTGCATGAGAATATTTTGTTTTACTCCACCGAGAACTGGAAGTCGCGAAAAAAACCTGGATTGAGTGCCCGCGATGTGCTGCCACTTTTCTGCGTCACACCAAAACGGTTCCTGCCGGATGCCAATTCTGAGTGCATACGGAAATTGAACTGCAGATTTGGTCGGTATCTAGCATTCTAAACATTAGTTAGGTCACTCTTCGGGGAATTCTTAATGATAGAACAGTGCCTAGAAGTAAGCAAGGTGTACCGAAACGATCCACAAGCAAGCGAGAGAGAGAGAGGGCTATTTTGTCTGTCGTACACTAAGAAGTATTGCTATATGCCCCCCAAGACTATTTGTAGATCGCAGGGAACATTCATCAATGTTCTCTCTGAGCATAATTAGTAAACGAATGAGGGATTTCGGCCTCCATCAGCAACATGCCCCAACGAAGTCATTTTAAGTAGGAAACTGACTAGATAAGGTGTTTTATTTGTTCATAAGTATGTTGATCACAGAATTCCATTCCGGAAGGGCATTTCCCCTTGTGATCAGACCTTATTTTTAAAAAAGCTTCCGAAGTCGCTCAAGGTGGTCATATATGGGAAGAATTTCCCCCGAGAAAACACTGTGTTGGCAGGAGCTTTCAAAAACTATCGACGGAGGCGGTTCTGATGACCATCACATTCGGAGAGTGACCAATATGGCGGTCGATATCGGAAACTATCAATTGCAAAGTGTGTTTATCGACATCGTGAAGGATGTCTTCGACTACAATGTCATTCACCGACGTCAAATAAGCACCCTAATTTTGCTTCTGTTCGACGATCAGAGGAGAAATTTTACTATAATTTAGGCCATAGCCAGCCCCTCCGCCCGCGGCCTACGTAGCAGTTTCATTCTTGCTAATAACTTACGTTGCAGTATCAGAGGCCGGAAACAGAATTATCCAATTCAGAACATTTTTCGGTAAGGTGTGGTCTTGCAGTCGCACTTTATGAAGGTTATATGGTCAGCCTACTGGATTATTTTTGAGTAGACGAGATTACGCAATATTAGGACGGAATGCACACTGACCTAACTTCCAGTTGGCAATGCGGTCACTTCCTTCCTAATCCAGCGAGTGCTGCGTTACCAGTTCTACTCCTTTCCGATCCCACTCCAGTGAATGCCTATGGCTTAGTTATGTCAACGGAGGTGCTTCAGCAGGACGTTTCACGCGCGCCGGGCCTGCGAAAGGCGCAGGATATCCGTTTCCATGTGCTGCTTCTCCGCTGCATATTCACCTACGTTTTCATTATCAACGTTATAGATCAACTTACCGGCCCCTTTGCTGAGACGTTTGCGGCACTGATTGTTGACCGTCATTAACTGGATACGATTCTGCTACGTGCCTTAGGAAAGTTTCCCCAATTTTCTTTACCGCGTTCAGGAGGGCTTTCGAGCGCACACCCCGCCGACTGCTGCACCATTCCACTGCTGTGGCGTGGTTTATGCCCACGGAAGTCGCACACCTAATGACTCCATTTCCTTCGAGAAAAGTCAGGCAGAATGGTATTACCGACAAAGACAAGGGAGACTGGAATGGCCATTTCTGGCTTATTAGCCGTCGTCAGTCAGTCATACCCAACCCCGAAATGTGGAACACCTGGGGGTCGAACTCTCGACCTGTTAGTTAGAAGTGCAGCGCCTCTAACCACTCAGCCACGGGCCCGTTGTGTTGTCGGTTGCCATAGGGAATATACAATGGTAGAGTGGCGCTCACCGATCGTTTCTACGGAACACACTCGTCTCGCTGTGCCTAGGGGCACTCTCTCGGGCTAATAAGCCAGAAATGGCCATTCGAGTCTCCCTTGTATTTGTCAGTAATACTATTCTGCCTATATCATGCGACGCTGTGCGGCTGCTGGTTGGGTTCGCGATAGAGAGTCCTAAGGTACAGCTGGACGAGTGAGTTCCGTAGAAACGATCGGTGCGCGCCCCTCCACCAAAGTGAGGCGGGTTTTCATTACCATCGTTAATGTCAGCCCTCTTTTGTCAAACACCGTTTCAGTTAAAATCGGCATCTCGGTCTGTTTTGAAAATAGGAGGTCTAGCGTAAAAGAGTTCCTTTATCGCAGTCCAAATAGTTAAGATGAATCCATTCCAAACTTTCTTGGTGTGGGACAAGCTCAGGTAGTGCTTCGTTTTTCTGCTGCGCTCATTCAAGAACCTGCAAAATATGTCCACTGTCGCAGCTTAATAATATTTGTTCTCTATCGACCGGATCTAAACCATGTCTATTTGGGTATTCTGTCGTAATACTTGTAGTGTCATCGGTCTGAGGCATTGGCATATTACCCTCGATATGAACAGTCCTGATTCTTGCAAATGCTGAACACAGTGGGGCGAACTGATTGCTTCCACCACTTTGGTAAGCTCCGTGGGTTTGTCCAACAGCCTCCCCCCCTTCTATGCGGTTTGCTCGTTTATGGCCTACAACCGAAATAATTAAAAATATTTATTCATCAGGATTGCATGCAGCCGCTTTCAAAACCCTGGGAACTGCGCAATCAAATAGCACTCTTAGTCCCGTTCAACGACTTCACAGTTTCATGCGCTACAACTTATTTTGGCTATCCCTCTTTTAAATTAAAAATTCCACGACATACTTACGTTACTTTAATTGTGTTTCTGCTTCCCGTGACCATTTATTCGACTTGTTCTGCCTACTCGTCTCGATCACACATCATTTTCTTTGAACATTTTGCGGAGCGACCTTGGCAATGCGTTCTCACCTCCTATTGGTCAACAGTTTTCGCGTTCCACTTTTTCCGTGTACCGTGCACCTCAGAACAATCTGCAAAATGTTCTACACGCATCTTTTAGTTTTTATATTACGCATTAAAGTTTCAGTTCTTTTAAACTGCCTTCACCCGCTCGAATATGACTCCTTTTGCTTTTCTGCATTTCCGCCTTTCTCTTGCCCTTACCTAAGGCCCCATCCATTCCCGCGCTGCGGATGCCCAGGTTTTTCCTACCGCCAGTGGAGCTGCCTGACCGAACCTGACCAATTTTTTTTTCAACCAGAAAAACGACTGATTTTTTCGTTTCTGCCCAAGAACTTCTTTCGGTCAGCGTTTAAAACTTTTAGGGAATTCGACAAGCTTTAAACAGATAATATAATTTATCGTCAGGCGGCGTTCGGACACGATTTTTTCACTTTTCCATGACCGCTTAGGTGGTAGGAGGTCTCGGCTATAAATATGGCAAATTTGTATTTTTAGTATGTTGGCAGATCGGTATAGAAGCATTCACATACTTCAGGATCTTTTAGAACACATGCTTGACACATGTTGAAGATAAGTCAGTCTAAAACGCTAGGCTGTCAGGCTGACACAAAAAGTGTATTATCCTGAGGTTAAAGAAGTCGAGTTCGGCGAACGTACGTTTTCGATTACACTGAGTGATCGATCTCATGAAATGCTGGCCGAAATTCTGAAATTTGTCTTCATTTAGGACGGATTACTTAGATGGGACTGTAATACTGATTATCATGCGACATAATCCCATAATATTTCGGACTCGCCAGGATGTCGGCTTCTTTCCAACCTCCTGTAGGAACCGCACTCGGTAAAATATGAATACTTATGTAGCTTGCATTTATAATATTGATTGTCGATTGTTTTTTTTTAATTCAAATATATTTTACGGAAAACACTAGCAACAAATATGCTTTCTTTAGCTCGTTTGGTGGAAAATGTCGTTGTCTTAACATTTTATGCCTGAAGAAAAGGTGTATTTAGGTATCGAAAGAGTTTCTTAATTCTTGAATAATTTTGAGTCTGCTCAGCCGTTGCAGTAGCTTTTAACGATTTCTGTCTAAGAGATGCACGCTCTCCGCGTAAAGAGAATCATATAGGTAGAATGGCATTACCGACAAAGACAAGGGAAACTGGAATGACCATTTCTGGCCATTTCTGTCGTCAGCCAGTCATACCCAACCCCGAAGTGTGGAGCACCCGAGGCCCGAACTCGCGACCTGTTAGCTAGAAGTCCACGCCTCTAACCACTGGGACACGAGCCCATTGCCCTGTCGGTTAGAGGCGTCAGTTTCTTCCACGCTGCATTCTGCCCAGCTAGGGGCGCGAATGGCTCCACGGTAAGGGTAAGATAGCGCCCCAAGTACCTACGGCATATAAAGAATACCTACTATACAAGGCCGGCCAGCTTCTGTCGTTCACCGCTTGGTATCATACATCCCTCCCAGTCACCATTGCCTTTTTCGTCTATTGACATTGATAAGCTTCTCGTCAATGTGCACTTCTGCGCCCGGTCCGTCGTCATGAGTGCCGTGGAGCACACATTTCAACGGAGTGCCTACCAGTCAACAGCTGTTGTGTGAGACCCGCCAATGTCACTCTTGTTCCCCTTAATAACGCCAACCAAATCTTTCTGATTGTCCTAGTCGTTAGCCGGTTGTTCTTAAATATCGAGTCGGCTTTAGGGGACTTCCCTCTTCAACAGGGCCTACATCTGAATACATATCCATCTCGGTGCCAGTCGCATCCGCGACGCGCATGAAGCCAAACTGAAGCAGAAATTGACCACATTAAGTGAAAAGAATCCAAACCTCTGCCATGATAAGGTTGTGCACAACCTATCTTCCAACCAACTGACAGCAGAGCAGATAAAAGTGCTGAGTCATGATGCCAGCTTCAATACTACGGATGCCCAACCACTTGACTTCATCGCCGCTGCGGAATCTGTCATTCGCGAAGCCCCAACTACTGAAGAAAACAGGAATCTGCTACGAAAGCCAACATCCTCCAGACTCATGTCCCACAAGAAACGCAAGAGGCTTTCAAAAGCAGAAGACGGGGCACTCTGGACGTTAAAGGCTGACAAAAGCATTGTCATACTCCCAATCGATAAAGGACGATCGACGGTTGTACTGAACAAAGAGGACTACATCGACAAGGTCGATGAACTTTTTGGCGACAGAACCGCCAACATTCCTCGTGAAGGTGACACGGCGAAGACGCTAATAAGCAAAATGATCATGGACCTAGCGGGTCTTCGGAAGTCAAAAGCAATAACACAGCTTGACTGGCTGAGGGTATAGCCAAAGGATTCAGTGATTGCGAATGTCTATGGTCTACCCAAGGTCCATAAACTGGGAACTCCCCTACGGCCGATTGGTCCTCTGCGAGGCACTCCAACGTTTGGCCTGGCAAAGCGGCTGTTCCAGCGTCTGAAATCTCTAGCTTAGGATTCCGAAACAAACTTCCATTCGGCCGAAAGATTCATTAAAAAGTTGCAAGGTATTCGCCTCACAGATGACGAACTGATGGTTTTTTCGACGTTATATCAATTTTCATCTCCATCTCACAGCATCTCGCGGTTTAAACCATACAAACCTTGTTAGAAGAACATTGTAACGAGGCGGACAATAAACTTAAAATAAAACACCTTATCGATATCCCGAAACACTTCCTAAAGACCTTCTTTAACTTCAATGGGGCTACGTACGAACAAGTTAAAGGTACACAGATGGGGTCACCGTTGTCCAGCTTGATTGCTGAGGCAGTGTTACAGCGACTGGAGGCACTGGCCTTCGATTACTATCGGCTACGATTGTGGGTACGGTGTGTTGATGACACATCTGTCATCATCAATCGGGACAAGATTGGGAAATTCACGCAACATCTGAACTCCATCTTCCCAGATATCCAGTTCACGATGGAGGAGGCCCAGAAGACGGTCATGCCAAAATACGAAGTGGGCGAGCGGTCAGTTAGCAACACCGAGTCGGGTCTGACTCTAGAAATTCATGTCCCGGAGACTTAACTCTATGTCCTGCACTGAATAATTTCTGAAATTATTCGCTTGATATACATATATATATTCAATCAGGAATGGTAATATTATACTGCATATTTACAGAGAAAGCCTTACGGGACATTTCACACTTCGGTTTACTGCAAGGAAACCTACGCGGAAATTCTTTTACATCACAAGAGCAATCACCCCATCTCTCACAAACGGAGTGCCGTGAAAAGCCTCCTTAACCGAGCAAGAACTCACTGCTCTGACAACGAAGCGTATCAAACAGAACTGAATTATTTGTTTTAACTGTTTCCCCAGAATGGGTATTCTAGATATTTTGTACACCGACGCATGAGACGACAGGAGTTAAAAGAAAAAGACAAGGAACTAGATTGTTCCGACCAGGCGCCCAAATAAAAAAACTGGAGAACACTTCTGTACATTAAGAACGTGTCCGAACTAGTTGAAAGACACCCGAGGAAGCACCAAATACACGTGGCGCACAAACTGACAACTATACTTCGTAACCAGCTTGTACACCCTAAGGATAGGGTTGGCTATTTAGAAAAGAGGGAAGTCGTCTACAAGATACCATGCGACACCTCTAATGCGGTTTACTGTGGTCAAACTGAGAAATCGGCCTCCACACGAAGACACGAACATCAGTTGACCGTAAAAAGGCGAGACCGCTTGTCCCAAGTTGCCATGCATACGTTGGAAACCGGACACAAATTCGCCTGGGACAGGACTCGCATTGTAGGTGTCTGCTCATCTAAGAAGGGTCGTGAATTTTCAGAGGCCATCTATTCTGGTAACGCATGCATAAACCGACACGTAGAATTGGACGCGGTGTACAACAGCCTCAAGGAAAAGTGAAAAGGGCCTTGGCCAATCAGAGCATTACGCCAGCAGGAGTGACAGGGCAAAATCGATTTTTAGGCATGTTTAAATGTTGACTGTTTTGCACACTTCACGTCTGAGGACGACTTGGGGAAGCAAAGTCAAAAATTTACAATAAAACTTGTTTATCTTCCCCAAAGGTCTTATTTCTTCCTATTTATGATTCTTGGGATGCCTGTTTTCAAAAAAAAATATATTGAACGGCCAAACAACTGCGGAATCCGCTTTCTTGGCGGGAGTCGAAGGAGCGCCCTTTCGTCAACCAGCCAAATGTGGGTTCTCAGCATGCCCAACGTTAGCGTGCATCGCTGCGTTCACGAAGAATTGCGGTCAGAAGGATCTTAAGTGCCTTTACAATACGGCTCCCCTAAAAGTGAGGCTCCTTAGTACAGAATTTGACTAAATATCAGTTCATGTGTAGTTAAGCTATTGAGTCCAAAGGGCTGATGTGTTTACCAACTGTAAGTTTGTTCCTCTGTGGAAAACGTGAAGAACTCAGAGGATTTCTCGAACGATGGTAAGTTAGTTGAATTTCCGCACAGGAGATGACCATGGGGATTATCTGGAGCCAAATAACCAAACAGGTAAAATTTAGGTCGATGAGGTAGCGTTGGTCCGACAACATGCCTAGTTTACGGGGGCCTTACGCCGAGACAAAGGCTGTGGAATCGATCCACACACTGTGCATGATGACCAAAGAAGAAAACGAGAGTGACCATTCCGCTTAAATGAACTTTGGCGTTTTACCAATGACTGCTAATATTTTAATGCCGCGTTTCGGGAGAAACAGCCGACTGGAGAACATTACGGACAATCAGTTGGTTAATTTTATACGACTGACCCGTCTGAGGCACAAATCAACGCCTTCTGATCATAAAAGCCTAAAAATGTCCAATGCAAAGAATGTAAGAGCCTGTGGTTCCTTCAAAGAAGTCATTCAAACAGCTACTGCCTTCAACATATCTTGCTTCCCACAGCTGATAGATCCCTCAACAGAGCGCCAGAGTTGTTCGCTGCCCTACATTTAGTTCCAGGCTACGATGTTTGGAGCATTCGTTTGGGAATAAAAGATCGATATCTTAGAGTTATCCTAAGGCTAAGATGTGTGCTACGAACATACAATGGCCGATTACGATTTTCCTTACTCGCTGCATTCACAGTACTCGTATCGCGAGGCCCCCAAGGATGCATTCGACCAATCACAGGCCTCCAATGCTTTCCTCTGGTCAGCACATGTGGGCTTCAAGATTAGGCGTCTGCGACCGGTAGGATTTACGTGGTGTGCTGACACGCCCACGACGACGAATCACAGATTCGCCTGGACCTTGCCAAACACCCTCTGCCTCCCCCCCCCCTGGCGGGTACTCCTCACGTTTAGCCCTCGATATACATGCTGCCCCCTCCAGGACTTGCGTAGTTCTTCTTTTCCCCCTAGGTGGGACTACTGCTCGTCGTCTCCTGTCTGTCTCCTACAGCTTCCTGGAGGTTCAAAACAGAATGACAGCAAAGCAGGAATGGTGTGTAAAGTCCACCGTCGTGGTGGTGTTGGCAGGCGGCCTCTCGCATGGGGGCGCCTATCGTTCACCCCCGAACGCGCCTGTCTGTCCGCTCACAGGCCCATTCCTGTCATGTGACCACTCGATCTCGCCCAATCAGAAGCGGGATTTTTCTACCACTGCTAGCGGCTGTACTTTATCCAAGCCCTCAGGGAATGCGGGCTAGACGTAGCACCTTCTTCTCCACCTCGTCATGCAGGGGAGCTAGGAGTGAGCACACTGTCTTACGTGTTAGCAACACACAATCAGTGGGGCATTCTACTTCGTCCCCTGCCTCCTACTGAGGTGGTAAGTCTCTTGAAAATAAGAGCGAACCTGCAGCAGTTTAGTCCTTGTTCCTTCCGACCAGAGCGGCAGTAAAAAAAAGAGAGATTTTTCAAATATCATGCACATCAACATCGGTTTATGTTTGGGAGAGTGTTTGGGTCTCATTCTAGCGTCCATCCGGGGGAGGGGAGGGAGGGAGGGGGGGGGGAGGGAGGAAGACTCAACATCTACGTCTGACTGGCCTCCTGAATGGCGTGCTCAGTAACTTGTATCCTCTTTTCCAGAGAATCAGGCGCGATCTGGGCAGAGCAAGCGACATCGCAGCAGTAAGCCGATCTCGGCCGCGTCGGCCAGGTGTGCATGATTGGTTGGCTCACCCCCTCATCCTCGGAGACGCTACTGATGGAGGAGGAGTAGACGTCTCGCTGTCCCCTGTTTTCCGGCCGAACAATCGTCACTGGTTGGGCTGGACCGGCCTGTGAGGTCTCTAGGCGTTGAGTGTCGCCCCCAGCAACGGTGAAGGCCCACTCGGTCTGGGTCTGTCCCCAGCGCATTTTGGACCTCCTGTCTGCGTCATACTCCGTTACCAACAGTTTTACCATATCATGCTCCTTCAGTCGTTCGTAAGTGTTCACTCCGGTCAACCGGCCGGTGGCGCTAAATGTTTGCTGCATCAGTTCGCGTGCTGCCACTACAACGGTGGAGAGTTGTTGGGCCTCCGCACTGGTGAGCTCATTTATGTAACTCCCCGCCCGGCCCCCGTGCACATAGGCGGCCTGGGCCTTCAATGAGGTCAGGTAGTCAATATCCGCGGTAGTATCCTGTTGATCCATTAGAG